CGCCTCCCGCCGCGCCGCCGTCGAGGCGAGGCTGGAGTCCGAGGTCGCCGCGACGGGCGAGCTGCACCAGATCTGCGACGCGCTGCGCAAGCAGCTGGCGGCGCAGGCGCGCCCCGGCGTGGCAGGAGGCACGAGCTTGGCTGCTGCAGGGCCGAGCAGCGACCTCGCCGCCGCCGGCGCGTCGAGCCAGGGCGGAGGGCGGCTGGGCCTTCCGGAGGAGATGGTCGAGCGGCTGCTGCAGCAGGGGCAGGCCGGGCTCGAGGGGCGGGGGGAGGGGAAGCTGGCTGCGCCGGCGGGGGCGGCGCTGCGCGTGGCGGAGGGGCGGCGTGGCGGCGGCGAGGAGGAGGAGGAGACCGGGGCCCCGCGCCACGGCCCGTCTTGGCGGCTCGAGCTGCGGCCGTTGGCACCGGAGCCGGTGGCGGCCGCGGGCGGGCAAGACCCTCGCAGGCCGATTCGCCTTCCGCTGGGCAAGATCAACGAGGCGGTCGCTGTCGGCCGCTCGTGGGCCCGAGAGGGCCCGAGAGGGCCCGAGAGGGCCCGAGAGGGCCCGAGGGGACCCGAGGCTGGCCGAGGTGATAGGCGGTGGTCGTGGGCCGCTCGTCGCGCGAGCACGCAAACTCGTTCGAGATCAACGACCCCCTCGTCAGCAGGAAGCACGTCCGGATCGACACCAAGGCGTGGCCGGTGCCGGAGCAAGGCGTGCGCGGCGAGGACGTGATCGCGGTCGCGACGGCGCTCGGCGCAAACCCGATCGGCGTGCGGCACCACGCGGACGATTCGGTGGAGAAGGCGGACCGCCGGCTCGTGGTCCGAGATCACCCGAGATTACGCGAGATGACCCGAGAGTGGCCGAGGCGATAGGCGGACCGCGGCGAGACGCTCAACTTGTTTCACGGAGACGTGCTCGCCCTCCTCGCCGCCGACAACGCGCACCCCGCGCGGTACGAGTATTCGGTCGTCCACGTCTACGGCACTCTGCCAAACAAGGCGCCACCCGCCGCGGCGCTGCCAAACCCGCAGCAGCAGCAGCAGCAGCAGCAGCAGCAGCAGCAGCAGCAGCAGCAGGCGCAGCAGCAGCAGCAGCAGCAGCAGCAGGCGCCGTATCACGGAGGTACATTCCACACGCCAGCCACACCGCTCGGCCAGGCCGCCGCGGCGTGGGCCTCCGGGGCGGGCGGCATCGCGCCGGCGGCCGGCGCGGCGGCCGGCGGCGGAGCAGCAGCAGCTGTCCCCTCTCCCAAGCGGCAGCGACTCGAGCAAGAGGGCGGCGACGGCGACGCGGGCAGCCTCAGAGGCTCACACGAGTGCCCGATCGAGCTGTGACGCGAGGCGTCCGCGTCTGGCTGTGGTGTGTCCCCCCTCCCCGCGTTCGAGTAGTAGCTGTGTGTTGCGATGCATGTGTATCCCCCGCCCCCCCCATCCTCATCCCTTGGCCTTGCTGCCCCAGAGGGCGCCGCTCACCCGCGACTACGTTTTCATGTGTATATGATCGCACCCGAAGCACCTTCGCAACTCCACATCACCATTCCGAGGGCTTCAGGTGGTGCTCACGCGCGACGAAAAGCGGAAAGGGGAGAAGCGAGAATCGACGCGATGCGTGTACAAAGCATACAAGAAGAGGAGAAAGAAGAGGAGAGACACCGGTGATGACGAAACAGAAACTAGCGCAGGCCAGAGCAGGGCAGACCCGGGGACGGGGGAGTCGGAGCAGACGGCATCGGCCGCCGGCGCCGCGGCGACCTCAACCGACTATGGAGGACCCGTCGCCAGACGACGCAGGGCAGAAGACGGTGAGGCGGAGCAGACGCGCAGGGCGAGACGAGTGAGGGAGCAGGACGTTGCGGAGATCAGCAGGAGGATGTACGAAGAGATTAGGAGCAGCAGGGACCCCGCGAGGGACCATGTGGAAGACGGCTAGTGCTAGTCCCCCAGCGGGAGGACGACCCCGGCTAGTCGCCGACCACACCCACAAAGAACCCTGCACAAAGATCGCACGGGCGGGGCCCTGTTCCTGTTTACCCATCCGCAAACGCAACTTTTAATTTCGCACCCCAGAAGCTTGAAAACACGTTCGTGGCGCTCTGCAGCGTCGTCCGCGCCTTCTTCGCCTTCGGCCCGGCGGGCGGCTGGCGCAACGTGAGCAGCGTCGACCTCAGCCCGCATCCGACCGAGGGCGACCCCCTCTGGATGGTCACGGCCGTCAAGGCCTGACTTACGCGCGCATAGATTCTGCGCGCGCCGCACTCACGCCCTGGCCTCCCCTCTCGCCGGCTGTGCGACCGGGAGCATGATTGAGAGGGAAAGCGAGAGGCCCGGGTGTGCGGCGCTGTCTCGCCCGCGCGATGCTGTGGGAGCGTCAGCGCGATCGAAGTTCGGTCGCGGGCGAGCGTGTGTGTTCGTGTTCTGTGTCGTGTGTGCCCGCATACGGCTTTATGCTCTATCTTTGAGCGCGTTTTAACCTTTTCAATCACAGTCGCAAAACAGTCATACGTGAATGAAAGTTGAAACTAGGGTACGGCTTTAAGGCTCAACCGGGAGGGCGGTCGGATCGCGGCGCTGCGCCTGCCCTTGGGGCTCGTTGGACGAACTACTAGAAGAGAAGCTGCGACTGCGCTTCCCGCCGCCGCCGCTGCCACCTACGCCCTCGCCGCTCTCCTCCAGCTGTCGTATCCTGGCCCAGAGCTGAGCTTCTGTTGTGTGCAGGTCGAAAATGATGTCCCCCTTCACCGCCTCCGCTGATGGCAGCCTCCCTCGCGGCCATCACCCGCTCGCGGGTGTTCAAGTCGGGCTCGGCCGCGGCGTGATCGCGGGCGCGATGGAAGAGCAACGTGCACGGGTACTTGCGGAGGGCCGCCGGCGTGCTGATGTTTGCGTCGCTCACGAGCCAGTCGGAGAACTGGAAGAGATGCGAGATGGCGTGGCGTTTGCGCGGGAAGCCGAGTGCCTCAGGCGTCTGGATGCTATTGATGCGAGCTGCCCACAGAGCGCGCTCGAACGGAAGCTGGCTGCTCGCGTTTCGCGCCACCTCCACGAAGGTGCGGAAAAGCGCGTCCTGCCCGTTGTAGATGGCTGCTCTTCCAATGTACCTGTTGCCGCCCTCTGCCTTGCAGCGCACGCCGCACGGGTGGCGGGGATCGCTCCCCTTGACCCAGACGCGCTCGCCGAGTGGAGGCACAAGGGCGACCATGTACTCAAGCCAGATCGGCGTGAGCGGCTCCGTGTCCGCCTCCACGAGGAACCAGTAGTTGTAGAGCCGCAGCCCCGACAGCCGCAGCATCATCCGATAGTAGAGGCCGCTGCCGGAGGAGGCGGCGGCGGCGGCGGCGGCGGCGGCGGCGGGCGTCTCGCTTATGATCAGCCTACGAAAGCACACCGCCGCGCGGCCAACGGCGGCGGCGAGCTGCGCGGGGCTCAGGAGGTGCTCCTCTTGATAGGCGATCAGGTCGACTGAGGTGTCACTCGGGGCGGTCGCGAAGGGACGATGAGGGCGCGGGACGAAGGCCGGCGAGGTCATGCGCTCGCACCGCTGTCCAAATGCAAGGCTCGCCGACTGCACCGCACCGAGGGCGTCTCCCTCGCCCTCTGGGATTGCCGCCGCACACGGGGCCAACCCGGGGTCCGACCACAGCTCGGCCGCCCTCTCCAACCTCACCGCGTCTTCTCGCGTGCGAAGAGGCACCACCACCGCCATGTGAAGTCCCGCGAGCGGCTGGCGCTCTTTAGTTAGAGATTCTAACTCGACCTGCATGCTCGCTCGCTGGCTGAGGCTGGGACGCACGAATTACTTGCGGTCGGCTCAGCCTCGGCCGTCCCCCGGCCGCCGAAGGCGCCGATTTTTTCTCCGTTTTAGTGCCACAGAGCCGATTTCTAAAGGAATTTGACGACATCCTGTGACATCCTAAGCACCTAAGCGGCCTAAGCAGTGTAGGGCGCTTAGCCGCTTAGGCTGCCCTCGCGAGCGTAGCAGGGTGCTTAATTGTGATTCGACGAGTGACCCAGAGTACCCACATGATGTGCGTTTCTATGGCAGAGCTCAGCCATCCCTGCGTCAGCCGCTCCAGCACAGCAGCGCAGCACGAAGGCTGGCGCAAGGAGCTCGAACGACGTCTCAAGCTCTCTTGTGTGTGTGTGTGAGAGAGAGATTTTTAGCAATACCAAACAACTCGAGAGAGAGAGTACGTACGAACAACTCTAACACTCACACGTAATTTGGGGCCTGGAGCCCTGTTCACGCGCGCGCGAGACGTGCAGACAGGGTTGCCAGGTGAGAGCGAATGGCGCGGTTCACGCCTCGCACAACAGAGAGAGAGATGCGCTCTGCATGGTGGGACATAAAAGAGAGCGAGTACTTGGGCGAGTAGGCCGTGCGGTCAACGCTGCCGCGCGCGACTTTGCGCGCGAGGCGGCGCAGCTTGAGAACGGCTTCTCGTGTGTTTGTGTGTGTGTGTGTGTCACTCATCACTCAAAAGCTCTCCTGTGATTGGATCAGGAGGATGTGTTGGAGGGTAGAGTCTCTTCGGCTACAGTTGTATAGCGAGGTAGAGCGGTCCAGCTGCAGGCCGCACAGCGCGAACTCGCCGTACTGAGCCTAGCGCAGCGCGAAGTCGCCGTCTGAGCCTAGCGCAGCGCGAACTCGCTCCTGTCGCTGCGAACCCTAGCCGAGCTCCATTTTTCCAGTGCGCGCCGGTCCCGTGCCCAGAAAGAAAGAAAGAAGCAATTCGGCGCAAGGGAGGGATGGGAAGACGGCACGCCGCCACCACACAGGGATTTTAAGGAAGGAATGTGGTGTCCCGTGCCCAGTGTCGTGCGAGGGAAATTTGGAGCCCTACGACGAATTCTCTTTCCAAGGAAGCCATCGTCTGCGCCTTGTCTGTCGTGTGAATCGTGCGTGTGCGAGAGCCTTTTGTTGTGAAAATCTCTTTCCTGTGAGCGGCTGCCGATTGAATTCTCTTTCCAAAGCGAGAAGTTTTGACGCGCCGCGAGGCCCAGCGCTCGACCTCACCTATCTCTCCTCCTCGCAGCCCGCGCGATGTCCGTGCGCTCTAAGGCCGAGTACTACAAGAAGCTTGCTGCGGAGACGCGCGAGGCGCAGCGCAAGAAGGATGCCGAGATGAGCCGCGGCAGCTCGAGCAGCGTCGGCGACGCGGCGCAGTCGCCCAGCAAGCCGCTAAAGTCTCCGAAGCAGTGGCCGCCTCCGCCCCGGCCTTCGCTCGATGAGGAGCCGCAGCCGCCGGCGGATCCGCCAGCGGCCGCGCAGCCGGATCCGACTCCGACGCCCGACCAGCCGCCGACGACACCGCCGCTTTCGCGCGGCGGGCACAGCCTAGACGAGGGTGCGTGGGACGCGACGCCGGCGTCGACGGCGCTCGGCGAGTCTGGCTCGGCCGCGCTGCGGCGGGCGGCGTCGGGCCGCGCAAAGGCGCGCCAGCCTCCTCCCGCGCGGCACGACGACGACCTGGACAGCCTCGACGGCGGAGGTGAGTTTCCTGTAGAGAGTTCCTAGACACTTCCTAGACACCTGCTAGACACCTCGGTCGGTAACGTGCCGGCCCGAAATTGAGTTGAGAACCGCAGCTCACGGTGAACTGGCCGTCCCCGTGGCCAGACACCTCCTAGACACCTCCCAGACACCTCTCTGGCCTCGAGCTGGTCGCCGCGATGGGGCGGGCGGTGGCGGACGTGCTATGCGTCAACATGATGTCGTTTCTGTGGACTAGCAGGCGGGAGCAGCGAGGACACTTCCTAGACACGTCGTAGACGCTTCCTAGACACCTCCTAGGCGGGAGCAGCGAGCCCGAGGACGGTGCGCTGGTGGACCCGATGAGCACGCGTGCGGCGGAGGAGGAGGCGGAGGAGGGCAGCGCCGCGCCTGAGCCGGCCGTGCCTGAGGCGGCCCAGCCGCCGCCGCCAGCCAAGCTAAACCCTCTCCCTCACCCTCGCCCTCGCCCTCACCCTAGGCCAAGCCGCCGCCGCCAGCCAAGCCTGCGGCCGTCCTCTCGCCGCGCGAAGAGCGGCGCATGAAGCGGCTGCAGTCGCTCGAGCGAGACCAGAGCGGCAGCGAGGCGAAGGCGATGATCGCCGCGGCGCCTCCGCCCCCGCCGGCGGCGGAGGCGGAGGAGGACAGCCACCTCTTCCAGCACGAGCTGCTCGAAAAGTACCGCACGCAGGCGAGAGCGGCGGAGAGGCAGCTCGCCGAGGAGGGGCAGCGGTGCTATTCTTGTTGTTTTCAGTCTTGTGACTCTTCTCATTACTGCTATTAGGCAGCTCGCCGCGGCGATTCGTCGCACCGCCGCAGTCGAGGAGACGCGCTGGAAGCGAGGAGCTCGGAGGACCTCTTTCCTCCCCTCCTGAGCAGCTCCTGGTAGTGCGGTAGGACGAGCTCGACGAGCTGCGCGGCAGCAACGAGGAGCTGCAGCGCAGTCTGCGCACGAGCGAGGACCGGGCGAGCCAGAGCGCGGAGCAGGCGAGCCAGAGCGCCGAGCTCGCCACGCAGCTCAAGGAGGCGGTGGGGGGGCTGCAGGACCGCGTCTAGGCCTCTAGCCACTCCGAACAGCGGTCACGAGATGCACGCATCAGTGCGGTGGGGCGTGCGGTGTGTGCTCCGTCCACAGCACTCTAACCGCTGGCGGTACTGCGGGCTGCAGGACGACCTGCAGCGCAAGTTCAACCAGCGAGCCGCGGCTCTCGAGGCGGCGGACGCCGAGCGCGCCGACGAGATCTCCGCGCTCAAGGCATCGCTCGCGCGCTCGCAGGCGGCGGCCGAGGCGGCGCAGATGCTTGCAGAGAGGGAGGGCGAGGCGCGGCAGGCGGCCGAGGCAGCGGCGGCCGAGATGCGGTCCCAGATCGCGGAGGAGGCTGCTCTCCATCAACGAATCGATTGACCAATCAATCGACAATTAATGGATGCCAGGTTCCAAAAGCTGCTCTCCATCAATTCATCGATGAGTCGATTCATCGACAATTGTTTGAATGCCAGGTTCCAGATCGCAGAGGAGGCTGCGGCGCGCGCCGCGGCGGAGGAGGCGGCGGCGGTCGCGCAGGAGGAGCTGCTCGACGTGCAGGGCGAGCTGTGAACGGCGTCTCTTCACAGGGCCGGCTGTGAACAGGAGGAGCTGCTCGACGTGCAGGGCGAGCTGTGAACGGCGTCTCTTCACAGGGCCGGCTGTGAACAGGAGGAGCTGCTCGACGTGCAGGGCGAGCTCGCGGAGCGCGAGGCCGCACTCGCGGCGGCGGAGGAGGCGCTAGCTGTGCTCGCACCCGACGTTGTCAAGATGGCCAACCACAGCGGAGGCGGCGAGGCGCGCGCGGAGAGCAGCGGTGGTTGGCAGTGGTGAGCAGCAGTCAGCATTCGTTAGGCGAGGCGCTCGCGGAGATCGCTCTCACTCCGCGCGTCTCGAAGCCGCCGCGCAAGCGGGCGGTGCCGGCCGCCGGCAAGAAGCGGGCAAGAAGCGCGCCGCGTCTCATTTCTTCAGCGGCGCGGCTCTTTTCTTGTAGGTGCCGGCCGCCGTCAAGAAGAGTACCGCCGAGAGCAGCGCGCGGGCGGTGTTCTCCCCGCCGGGTGTGGTGTCCAGCTCGCCGTCAGCGTCGCCGTCGGCATCGCCCGCGGCATCGCCCACGTCCGAGGGGTCGTCCTCGGACAAGCCGATCGTGGAGCGCGTTGCGGAGCTCGTCATCGAGAGCGCGACGGGCGAGTCGGTGCTCGCCGTACCCGACTCAATTAATGAATGAGTTCGTTAGGAATAGTTGCCTATTGGTCAGGAATAGTTGCCTATTGGCCAGTTAGTTAATCTGCAGCGAATAGTTGCCTATTGGTCAGTTAGTTCATCTGCAGCGAATGAGCCAGGTGCTCACCAACCCGACCGAGCTCGCCGCGGCGACGACGACGACGGTGCAGTCCTTCTTCGACTACGTGGAGGAGTGGCGCGGCGCTCTGGTCGACATGCAGGCATCGCTCGACTTTACCAATGCGGAGGACGATGCGGCGGCCCAGAAGCCGACGCTTGCCGCCGCCACAATCGTCGCTAGCGGCGGGGCGCAGCGTAGCGTCGGCGAGGCAGACGACGTCTGAGGAGCGGTGTGGAAAGTGAGACTGCCGCGCCTCCCCGCTCCTGGAGGCCACATAGACCCACCTTGGCCTATGTGGATGGAGGCGGCGGGCGCGTGGCGCGGAGCGCGCGATCGACGTGCGGAGTGGGAGGGTAAGGGGGCCGTCCAATGTGAGATCAGTAGTGCCGCGTGTGTGAGCTCTCAAGCGCGCGGACGAGGGGGGGGGCATAATATATTTTCCTCAATAACTCCTCTTCAAAAGCCCAGCTCTCGAGAGCACAGCTAGAGGGCTAACACCTCGAAATGTGCACCTTGGATGGCTGCGCTCCCTGTTTCACAGCCATCCGTGCTAAGGATGGCTGGCACGCCTAGATCTCAGCCATACACTCCTACCCGATGGCTGAGATCTAGGCGTGCCAGCCTCAACAACATCTCCGACGCGCTCAAAAGCATCGGCCTGCACGTGGTGCGCGCTCCCACCCGGGACTCGCTCAAACGCGCAGAGACGGACCCACGCAGTGGCAAGATCACCTTCGTCCCTACTCTCGGTAATGGGTCGAACTGGTTCGCCAACTTTGAGACCACGGCGATAGCGTCCTGGCCCGACTTCCTCATCACCGGCGGGCGGTACCACCGCTACAAGGTGCTGGGGGATTCTCATCTCGGTTGTGCACTGCTACATCATGCCAGCCGCCATCGCCGTGCATCTTGGCTGCACGGTCCTCTTCTTCGAGCAGCAGCGGCGCGTCGTTCACGCCGACCCGCTTTGCTCCTCCATCGCCGCCCTGACCGAGTACGAGGAGATGCACTCTGCTGGCGAGCTTGTTGGCCCTAACCCGGTCTTCTCCTTTGGAGGCGTTGGAAAGTATGCGGCGGCGGGTGCTACTGGCGAGGGGGGGGGCGGGGCGACGACAGGTGTAGGGGTTTGTCAAACGGCCGCGACAATTGCGCAGGCGGACGCTGCCGTCACGACGTGCTGGATCGCGCTGGCAATCTGGGGCACAGCCCTGGCGTATTACGTTTGGCGAGAGCTGACGCGCAAGGCAGACGCGTACGTCCACGCCACCGCTGACAACCTGCTCGCGCGCTTCGTCGACGTATTTACGGTTCAGCAGCCAGTCCAACGCCAGGCGCGCTGGAAGAGAGGCAGGACATCGCACCGCACACGTGACACGCGTCGCCGAGCGCGCAGCCCGAACCACTCGCTGGGCTGGCGGTCACCTCCTGCACCCGCGATGACAGGTGCTCGCCGAGGCACACCGCAACCCCTTCCGCCGCGACGGCGAAGGCTCGCTCTACATGCCACCACTCCCGCGCTGGGTGCTCGAGAGCCTTGGCTCCGCCGTGTCCGACGAGGCGGCCGCCATCTACAACCCCTCCACCTCCATCCGTCGCTCTATGAAGGGCGCGCCATCGCGTGGGCCGCGCCGGCCGCGGCGAGGGCCCAGCCGCGAGAGGCAGAAGGGGGGCTATAGTACGTTGGTGTAGGCTGTCTAAGTCGCGTAGCCATAGAGTAGCGGGGCATCAATTGTAGGCCAGACTGAGTGAGTGAATATTCTTGATACGAAAAATTAACCAAGCCCGCGACGACAACACAACACCAGTCGAGTGTGACGAGGACTCGCACACTCGCTCGCGTCGGTCGGTTCGGTTGCCTCTCCATCTATTGTTTCGTCTCGCGTCCACACCACGCCTGGCTCCAACACGTGGACACGCCCCCATAAATGGGGACACTACTAGCTACTACTAGGTCACGCATGGCATCAGAAGTTTTAACTTTTATCTCTGGGCCCTGGGCGAAAAAGGCAATCACGAGACTGCCGTGTGTCATGCGGGTTGCTCTCTCATACACACGGGCTGAGCCTTAAATGTTTTAGATCGACTCCACGAGTTCCAGCGGATTATTCGTTTTGTACGATTGGTGCAGGACCTCGCAGGGGTGCCAGGAGCGACTTGGCCTGTACGTGAGTTTCCGGAAACCAAAACGCAAACGCGGTCTGAGCCCTGGAGCCTGGTGTCGAGGTGTCGAGGCCCGGTGTCGAGGGTGTCGAGCTGCTGTCGAGGGATAGAGGTGTCGAGGCCTGTCGAGGCCTGTCGAGGCCTGTCGAGGCCTATCGAGGCCTGTCTAGGCTGGGACCATGCCATACATTAGGTCCGTGTCGAGGTGTCGAGGAGTGGTGTCGAGGGTGTCGAGCGTGTCGAGCGTGTCGAGCGTGTCGAGCGGTGTCGAGTGTTGTCAAGGTGTTAGCGTCTAAGGTGTCGAGGTATCCAAGGTGGCAGGATGCAGTTGCAGCCCATAACAAAACTTGGGCAGCAGCTGCAAAGCTGTTTCATCCCTTATAGTTGCAGCCTCTCAAAGTTGCACCCCTGTTGATGTAGCACAACCTGTGAGCACAACCAGTATACTCTGTGGACATTTGAGGACATCAAGCTCACTAGTGCCAGGAGTCGTTGCCACTGCACAAGGTGCTGTGCAGGCGCAGCACCTATGGACCTAAGCGCTAAGGCTACAGGACACCCCATGCAGCAGCGTCGCCGCTGCAGCGTCGTCGCCGCTGCAGCGTCGCCGGCGCACAAATCGCAACTGACCACAGCGCTCATGGCACAGGGTCAGGCTGGTGCCATGAGTCAGTGGACATTGCCAAAACGAAAGCTAGCAAACACGACGCGCGCAAAAGTACGGGGTGTGGAGGGTGAGTTGACCAGGGGGTTGTGCGCCGGGCCCTCCTGCTCGGCTCCAGCCAGTAGACAAGTCTTGTCATCAACAGAGTAGAAGGATCTGACCTGGGGGCCGATGTGACCAAGCGCTGGTAGCGTGGTTTGACCTCACACCCATGGTCTCACAGTGTGCCGGCAGTCGCCGAGCAGTGTCGCTCACACAAGCCGCAGCACAAGTGACTGAGGGCCAGTGAGGGCGAGCCCATCGCTGTCACAGCTGTAGCAGCCGCACAGTAGTGTCAACTGTGCAAAGTGTGTGAGCAGCAGAGGAGCTGCTCTCCAGGCTTCAGGCGCAAAGAGCTGCATGCCACCGAAGGCGCTGTCGAGGTTCGCCGAGCGCGGCGCAGGTTGGAGGACACCGTCACCGACGAGCGCGTTGGACTTTTCACTCCGGACAAACCAGACCGCGGCACAGCGGAGACCGCGGACGGTGCGGGGCGTCCTGCCGCAAACTTAGCGGCGAGGCGCGGGACCGTCTGTGGCGAAGTGGGTCGCGTCCCCCGATCCGTCAACCCTGCATCCACACCCTTTAGATCGCACGCTGGATACACAGTGATTATTCATTCACGAGAAAACTTCCGTGGGGGCAAAACTCAGACGATCGCACGCGGCAGTGCGAAGGCAAGAGCGAAACGGCACGGTTGCCGTGGGTTGCGGCCCGGCCCTCTGCGGCGGCTCGGCAGCGCAATCTAGTAGTAGCCCCCGCCCTGCTGCTGCTGATAGCCCTGCTGCTGAAAGCCCTGCATCGCGAGGTGCTCAAAGGTGAACACGGCGCTGTCCGGGCTCTGCGCGTCGAGGGCCACCTCGTCGCCGTCAGAGAGGTAGTGGGTCTGCCCGGTGTACAGTGCGTTCCACTGTCCGCCCCGCGCGCGCACGCCGGTCGCGGGCTTGCCGGTCGAGGTCAGCATCGCGTTGCCGTCCTGCAGAAGCTGGACGAGGCACTGCTGCCTACGAGAGTAGAGCCGCGGCGATCATCGGCAAACCGGTGAGCGGCGAGACGGACCGCCGCCGGGCGTGGCTTTCCGGCTGACGTACGGAGAGGGGCTCATCATGTTCCATCGGCCGAGCACAAACTCGTACTCGGAGAAGGAGAGCGCGTACGGGATGGTGGAGTACTTCTGGGTGGCCGAGGCATACTGCGGCCCAAACGCCTAGCGAGAGGGGGAGGGAGTGAGAGCGGAGCTCGAGGTAGCGTCCGTGTGCGCTTCAGAGAGAGAGAGAGAGAGAGAGAGAGAGAGAGAGAGAGAGAGAGGGGGGGGGGGGGGAGGGGGTGAGAGCGAGCTGCGAGGTCACAAAAGCCTGGAAGCGTGTGTGCCCGCTGACGCCCGCGACCGGGTAAATGCACCACAGCGCGCCCTGCTGCTGCTGCTGCCCGGCGTAGCCTCCCTGCAAAGGCGGCGGCGCCGTGTGCGTATGTGCGGGAAGCGCGAGGGCGCAGCGGAACGGTGAGGGCGAAGCTGCGAGGGGCGCTGTGCTTGCGGGTGCGGCATGCGCCTGCTGGCCGTACTGCTGCGCGCCGTAGCCGCCCTGGTCATACTGCATGCTCACATCACGTCGCAAGCTTGCTGCGCGCGGTGCGACTAGGCGCGGCGCCGCAGGCAGGAGCAGGCCAGTCGTCGCGATGGCCACCAACCCTGCGACCGACATCCTTCGCAAAGAGTGCAACAAAAAGAACTCTCTGGTCGAGCACACAGGTTCGACACAGGAAATGACAAGGGAGAGAACGACGAGAGTGGGACGACCGCGAGGTGGCATGAAGGCTGCAGCGAGAAGCGGCGAGAGACTGCGAAGAGAGATAGGAAGAGGCAGACTCCCTAGGGTGGGCGACGGCTAGCGCATCACACACCTCTCCTTAAAATCCCTGTGTGGTGGCGGCGTGCCGTCCTCCCATCCCTCCCTTGGGGTGTCTGTTTTCTTTCTTTCTTTCTTTTCACAGGTACCAAAAGAGGCACAGCCTGCGACGGACCTTTAGAAGGCGCCGTCGTCCTCATGGAGGTGGGCACGATCGGGGGGACAGTCGAATCCGCGAGCACCGTAGTGCTCGCCGAAAAGACCATCCCCATCATCCCAACCCCCCCGGCGACCCCCTCGCCGCTTGCCCCGGTAAAGAAATTTACTAGCCACCGTGTTCTCGAGGTGGATATCCTTTGGCCGCGTTGGGTAGCGAGGATTGGTGTAACCCGAGCCACGGAGGCGTGTTTTCTGGCGGCCGACCGTCAGTGCACGGAGTTGCCACTTCTCCGACTGCCCCGGCTAGTTCACGAGTTTCGCGGGAGTGACCCCATGCGTCAAACCCGAGACCTAGCGCGGGTGGGTTGGAGGGGGCTCGCCCCGTTCCTCCCCATCGGGCCGCGTGAGCGGCCTCGCCTCGCAGATTCGTTTCTCGCGCCTGGGTCAGGCGCGCGGGGCATCCCCCGGGTCGCTCGACCAGCGATCCGAAGAGTGGCCGCTATGCGAGGGAAAGAGCGGGGCCCACGGGGTACGCCTCCGTCCGGCCCCCTCCGAGGGGGGAAGGGAATTGTGGGGTCCCACGGGCGCCTCAGTTCGGCCCTCCCGAGGGGGGGGAGGGGAGCAAGGGGGTGGGGGATTGGGGTGGTGGGGAGGGGTCTCGGATTTCATGTGGCTAAAACTTGCCTTTCGGGGAGGGGCCTCAGGACGGCGAGCGCAGTGGCGCCCGCACGACGTCTTCCCCTCCTCCCCAGAGGCAGCGAGTAGGCAGCGAGAGGAGGTCTCGAGCGCCTATATGAAGGTATGTGAGATGGTGATGGGAATGGGTGGTCGGTCGGGCGGGCGGGCGGGCGGGCGGGCGGGCAAGCGGGGAGAGGCGGGCGGGCGGGGCGGGGCGGGCGGGCGGGGTGAGCGGAGGAATCGTGTCCACAATCAGCAGCAGTGGAGCAGCAACAGCAGCAGCAGGCGCTAACGTAGCAGCAAGAAGCAGCAGCAGCAGCAGCAGCCTCACTCCTGGGGTGTCTAACTCTTTCAGTCTATCTAGGCGGCCGCGAGGTTAATATACCAAATAATGGTGTCAAAACACCGGGGGGTGGTTGGCGCGCAGGCGCCTGAGGGGCTCGTGCCGAGCGCGCAGATGGCTCGACATCAATCTAGCAGCACATACCCTTGGTACCCAAAATAGTTCAGTCTGAAAAAAGTCGGTCCGACCACGCGGAGCCGTCTGGCTGTCTGCAGAGCCCAAGCAGAGCCCCCGCGGCGCGCTCGGAAGCTGAGAAATATGTCGGAGCCATGTCGGCCCATGTTCGCGAGTTTGATGGCGTTGCCCTTATTGCACGTGAAACAGACCGCGCCCCACGCGCCGTTGTTCCCGGAGGCCAACTGGAACAGGTTTGAGGAAAGGCCGCCTTCCATGCTCGATACGTCCGCTATCAGGTTGTACGTAAAGTCGTCCACTGCACGAGTGCCGAGCGTGGAGTATAGCTGCCAAAGCTCTGCTCCATGTTCGCCGCCGATACGCGAGCCCCACTTTTGTTGCTGCGCACTCTCGTCTATTGCCGACGGGACGTAGCCTTCTGGCATGGGCAAGACCTCGGCTGGCACGTAGGAAGGTCGAGGTCCGGGCTCGCCTAGTCCCAAATTGATGACACCAGTAGACAGCTCCTTGCCAAGCACTGATGTGCAGAGGGCCTGGTAGATGACTGCAGGACCAAAGCACTGCACACCGGAACCAAACACTGCATGCACTTGCTCGCTTCCGGCCCCGCTGTGCTCTTGGAATGCAGCGTTGCACGGCACAGGCAGTGCGGCAAACGCTGGATGCTCGGTCATCGTCGCCTCCGTGCTTGTCCCTGCAGCCATACTGCGTCAGTTAGCACTGTAGGCGAGAGCACGCCGAGCACCGCACTCGTTGCAGCTGCCGAGGGTTGCACGCGTAATAGGAGCGTCATTTTGTACCCACCCCCCCTACTTCGTGGGGACCCCCCCGCCGGTCGGTGGTCTGCCCCCGAGGCGGACCGGACCCCCCTCCGGTCGGTCGCTCTCTTGGCGGCGGGAGGTGTGACGACCGACCCCCCCCTTCGGTCGGTGTCCTTGCCGTGAGCCCCTCAATCAAACGCTCTCCCTCCTTCTCGCGAACCGCCACGGGCGCTTCGAAATCGCCGGTTTTCACTAACAGTAACACTATGAAAACTAGTTACGCAGCCAAGCGCCAAGGAGACTTCTTCGCCGAGGCCCGAGCGAGCCCGACTCCACACACATATGTGGAGCATCCACGCAGTCGCAGACCTGATCCTGCTTGTGCCGTCTTTGTACAAGCTCTGGCAGCGCTCCAGTTCTCCACAGTACGCGCGCGCATCGTACACACAGGTACCCACCCACCGGAGCCGCCTAAGCGACTCCTGCGAGGACGGCGAGGCACTTGAGCTCCCGTGCACTCGACCGCCCTCGCCGCAGGCAAGCTCAAAAGATTTACAACAAAACTAGCTCACCCAGTGATCGGTCACCCCGCCATCGCCGCCGACGTCTCCCAGATGATGGAGAGGGGGGTCGACACTGCTTCAGCAGCGTGCACCTCGATCCTGTACCGTGTTTGTTATGACCCCCCCCCCCCCCCGCGGTGCGGTGCGGTGTGTGTGTTTGCGGGTGACTGCTACCCGCCTCGCCCTCTCGCCGCCTCGCCGCCCTCGCTCGCCGCTCGCCTCACCCTCCCGCCCAACTTTCTACTTCCTCGTGATCCGGACCGCCGCCACCCTCGCCTCACCCTCGCCCCCGCCCAGCCGTTTTCCCGCCGCCCAATGCTCCGCCGTTCGCTGCGTGGTCTGCCGTCGTGCCGCCGTTCCTTACCGTGCCGCTCCTTCCTCCGTGACGCGCCGCCCTTGCCGTTTAGCCCGCCGTACCCCCTGCCGTTCGTTACCGCCTTGCCGCCGTACGGCCGCTCCTACAATGGTCAATGCCGCACCTGCCGCCGCGCCGCCTTACCGCCGACCCTTATAGTGCCGTGCCGCCTTTATACACACACCTTACTTTCTGCTCGACCGAGTTTGCGCTGATGAGCGAGCCGAGCCGCCGGGTGCCCCGCAGCGGCCTCACTGGGCCAGAAGATCGGCCCGAGAGTGCTCCGCAGCAGCCTCGCTGGGCCAGAAGATCGGCCAGTGAGGTGGGGTGCTAGTCTGGGACCGATACGTCGCAGTTCCCTTGCTCCAAGCGCTTGCGCTTCGGCGGTAGTGATCTGATCACCCATTACAAATCTTCAGATCGCTCCTCATCGCAAACCCTGTCAACAATTCACCCTCGCATATATTCTTAAAATCTACTACACTAAAAATCTCCAAATCGCCATTCTCATCCTCAAAAACATATCCTCCACATCCAATTTAATACCAATTATTTTTACATATTGAAAATACATTCCAAACCCTTCCAAAAACACACCACACCATCTACCCACATTCCTTTACCCAAAAATCATAAAAAAAATTGATAATTTCTCATTTCAACTTTATAGGCGGGTGCGACGCCAGCCTCTCTCATCTCGAGCATAGCTGTCCGTATGGTCTAGTTGGTCATGACGTCTGCCCAACATGCAGAAGGTCCCCCTTCGATCAAGGCGCCGGCACGTGTGCAGCTGCAGGCCAGAGGGTGTGAGGTGAGACCGAATCCGCAGTCGCACGAGCACCATCGCGCCCAGTAATGATGGCTTACGGCGCTGCACGGCAGATAGGCCCGCCTGCGAGCGTGGGATACAGTCGCGGGGCGTGAGGTCTCAGCATATCGTAGGCTAGGAGATGATACGGCGGCGGGGGAGGGAGGGAGGCGTGAGTGGCGGGCGATGAGATTCCACATATCTCGCTAAAATCGGCCTGGTCCCCTCCCGGGGGACCGGGCGAGCACACACCTCGCGTCCGAGCGCGAGTCGACGAGCGGGAGCCGAGAGATCGCCGAACGACGGCTCGAGCGCGTGCACGTACAGCGCAGCTGCGGTTTGTAACTCGACTGCCGGTCGCGCGTGTGGGATCTGAATGGAGCTCGCTGGCGCCAGTGCACGGCAGCGCCGCGTAGTGGATCAGGCGGGAAGGAAAGGGCAGGCGTTAATCGACGATCTGAGGCCGCTGGGATGGATCCAATAATAATGATTCCACGCACGCCTGGAGCATCGCCGCAGCGAGACGAGCGTCGAGCGGTGCGGGTGCAGCGGAGGGGGGAGCGCCGCCGATGAGCGTGTCTCGAGAGCGCAGCCAGTGCAGCGACGTGCAGCGCGAGTGTGCTCAGCGGTCGCCGAACACAGCTCGCTGCGGTCGTGCACCGATAGAAGAAAGCACACGGCCGACAGCGGTCCGGGTCAGGCTGCGGCACCTCGAGCTTGTCGGTAGAGCGGAAGAAAGCGGGCCGAGTCCAGTTCGTCATGTCGATGGTCAGCGTCGGTGCCGCCGCCGCCCACTGCTGGCGGCCGCAGCAGCGCGACGGCGGCGGGCTTCCTGGGGCTGCGCCCCAGACCCCCTTGACTGGGGGGAGACCCCCCCCAAGAGCACCCCCGTCGCCCCCGGGGGCCCGTCGACCCCCCAGGTTCGTCGCTGTGCTTCTTTAGCAGGCGGTGGACTGTCGGCTGCGAGGACGGTCGCATTTGCGCGAGGCGAGGCGAGCATTGCTGCGCGTTGCATGCGCCATGACTCGCGCCAGCGCGTGCGGGAGCTCTTGGCTGAGCGTTGAGTCCCCAGGCGAGTTGCGCTGGCCACTATCGCTACGCCGAGCCGTCTCCCAAACCGTCCTTATTTTGGGTGATGAAGCCCACTATGGCTGGTGACCCAGGTAGCCTCTGGCTCGCCACTGCACTCGGCTCCTCACAGCGATTGTAAAAAAAAGAAGGGATGAAATCACGGTCGCGGCCTTCCGACTCGCGCCTCCGCCTCACTGGCACTATTGTAGCCCTGGCCGGTGCGCGTGCAGAGTTGAAGTTCCCGAGTGAAAATTCGAACGCGTTCTCTCACGGTGACCAAAAAATGTCCACCTCAGAGGCACCTCCGGAGGCAGGCCGCCGCACGCCGGCGACACAGCTCCAGCTGTCGAACTGACCCGCAGCTCCTCTCAGAGCGGAAACTGTGACGAAAGTTGACTGAAGCGGTTGTCAGGAATCATCATACGGATCACATGGTGGCTCTCTCATGACGGGCCGCCCGACCGCTCCTGGGTGGCACTGCCACCGGTGTCGCTCGACGTCCTGTCGACAGCGTGCCGACAGCGACACAGACCATGTGGTACGCGTCGAGTATCGACCTCTACTGCTTACCCAGTCTTCGAGTGTCTCACAAAGCAGCCCTTGGAGTGTGAAGGCTTCGTAGCCCTCCGAAAAAGCAAGCGAGTGCTCACAAAGACGAGGCAGGCTGGGCAGGGCTCGGCGGCACACGGCGGATGCTGTGCGTCACTGGGCCACAAGTTTGGTTTCGGCAACACCCTCGACCAAACCTTGCTCAAGGTTCTTGGGTGCAAAGAGCGCGGCCACAAGTCACAGGGCCCGCTCGTCCATGCGACCGGTAAAGGCTGGGTCAAAGGGCACAAGGGACAGTACTACGACGCGCTCCATGTCAAGAACGGAATCGTCAAAATTTGTCTCGTCGAAAGCCAGGGCGGCATCGCGCCGCCGACCAAGAGAATCATCTTCAACTTCGCCAAAGAGGTCGGGAGCCCGAGCGCCGTCGACCGCACCGACTACCGGACTACGGCACAGCCTCCGGCAGCGCCCGGGGCTTTGTCCAGCACCACTCGCAACAGCTCTCGCGCGCCGCCGTCTGTGGCGACGCGCAAAACATCAACAACGCTGCTCGCAACATGCGTGTCGCGCACTCATTCATGACCGGTCTGCGGTCTCAATGCCCCACCCCCCTGCGCGCGGGCCTTCTAGGCCCGCGGGTAGTCTCCCCCCATTCCCAGGGCCTCCAGGGCTCGCACCTCAACCTCTCACAGACCAGCGCACAGCGCCATAGGACGTATATCTTCTCAAGGTCTCGGGCGGGGGACGAAGGGGTCACACCCGACGACCTCGGGAACTAGCCGGGGCAGTCGGAGAAGTGGCAACTCCGTGCACTGACGGTCGGCCGCCAGAAAACACGCCTCCGTGGCTCGGGTTACACCAATCCTCGCTACCCAACGCGGCCAAAGGATATTCACCTCGAGAACCTCGAGAACCTCAATAACAAGGCTGTGAACGGGATCCCCTCAGCTCCCGGTCGACTCGACGACGACATGGAGAGGCTCTCCGTCAAGGCGCGTCAGCCCAAGCAGGCGGAGCAGCGCCGCCGGCGTGCGGAGCTGCTCGAGCGGCAGCGCTCTCGGCGGGCGGACCGCACCGCCCAGAACCGTGGCCTGGGCGACGGTGGCGACGCCGGCGGCGGCGGCGGCTGCGGCCATGCAGAGTGGATGGGTGAGACAGACGGCGGCGATGCTTCAGCGCCGATGCTGGATACGTCGGAGCCGCTACCCGCCGGCGCCGGCGACGACGCCATGCAGACCGAGGGCGGCGGCGGCGGTGGCCGGCGGCGGCGGCCAGCAGGGCGGGAGGCAGCGTTGATGGCGCCCGAGTGGATGGTCGACGTCCCCGAGGACCTTCCGAGCTGCTGGTCGGTGGTGGCGCGGCCGGCGGGCGTGCGCTGCCTCGTCACCACCGGCGGCGGGGAGACGCGGAGGCACGCGAAGGGCTGCGCGCCGCGCCGCTTCCCGTCGGCGCTGCCGGGAGGGCGGCGGGCGGCGGGCGGTGTGTGGGGGGGGAGAGATGCGGACCAGGTGGGCTGCGGACTGCCTCGCACCAGCCCTCCTCAGATCGGCTGCCATAGGCGCGGGCCACGTCCAGCTCGACTGCGTGTGGGCCGAGGCGGAGCAGACGTACTATGTGAGAGGCTATGTGAGAGAGCCAGCCCGCTAGCCAGCCCCCGCCGCTAGGGGCAGTGCGACTCGGAGGGGTGACGTGGCCCGAAAAGTCTTCAGCGCGTCGGCGCCTCTCCTTGGTAGGTGCTCGACCTGCTGGCGTGGAAGGGGCTGCGGCTGGTCGACCACCCCTACGAGGAGCGCGTGTTCTGGGCGGCGAGATGTAGCCGAGAGGCAGCCGAGAGGCAGCCGAGAGGTAGCCGAGAGACAGCCGAGAGGTAGCCGAGAGGCAGCCGAGAGGCAGCCGAGAGGCAGCCGAGAGGTAGCCGAGAGACAGCCGAGAGGTAGCCGAGAGGCAGCCGAGAGGCAGCCGAGAGGTAGCCGAGAGGTAGCCGAGAGGCAGCCGAGAGATCTAGCCGAGAGGCAGCCGAGAGGCAGCCGAGAGATCTAGCCGAGAGGCAGCCAAGAGGCAGCCGAGAGGCAGCCGAGGGGCAGCCGAGAGGCAGCCGAGAGGCAGCCGAGAGGCAGCCGAGAGGCAGCCGAGAGGCAGCCGAGAGGCAGCCGAGAGGCAGCCGAGAGGCAGCCGAGGTGCAGCCGAGAGTGATCGACCTGCCAAGGCGAGACTGTGACCGTCCCGCGGGGCAGGCGAGCAAGCTGGCCGAGGTGCACGCCGATCGCCAGGCGCCAGACAGTTCGCAGTAGTGAAGCTGGCCGAGGAGCAGTGTTAATTACCAGTGATGGCCATGAATGCACATTGACTAGGCGTCGACCAACCCGTGCCGGTTCGTGCATCTCCCTCCCTCCGGCCGCTGCTCCGCCGCCACCCTCTCCACCGCATACTACCGCGGCGGCGGCGCGAACTAGCCGAGAGACCGCCGAGAGACCGCCGAGAGGCAGCCGAGAGGCAGCCGAGAGACAGCCGGGAGACCGCCGAGAGGCAGCCGAGAGGCAGCCGAGAGGCAGCCGAGAGGCAGCCGAGAGGCAGCCGAGAGGCAGCCGAGAGGCAGCCGAGGGACAGCCGAGAGGGAGCCGAGAGGCAGCCGAGAGACAGCCGAGAGACTGCCGAGAGACCGCCGACAGTAGGGAGAGGTAGGGCGTTTCCCGCAAAGACCCCCACGACTCCGGGGCCCCAGATCGCACGAGCACAGGCAGTCGGGAAGGGAGAGGCAGCGACGGCAGTCAGAAGGAAGCACTGGGTCGCACCAAGGCGAATGCGGTGACGGCCTCTAGTCACACCTCCTGGCGTGAATAGGCGCCTCGCGCGACGGGCTGCTCTTCTACCACAACGAAGGACTGTACGAGGCCGGACCGAGCCCGCTGTTGCTGCTCTGGTGCAGAGATGTCGCCGAGATGTCGCCGAGATGTCGCCGAGATGTCGCCGGGGATAGAGCCGAGATACAGCCGAGATGCAACCGAGTTACAGCCGAGAGACTGCCGAGTACCGCCGAGATACCGCCCCAGTTCCGCTGGCGCTGCTCTGGTGCCGCCTCCCGCCGCCCGGCCGGCGCCTCTTCACAGCCCTGGCTGTGAACAGGTCGGACGCGAGCTGCTCGTCGCGCTTCTACGACTACGGCTCGGCGCAGATGGCGCGCGAGCTCGCGGCGGCACCCGACAAGGCGGCACGGTGGAGGCCGGGCGAGACGGAGGCGGCGCTGCCCATCGGCGCGCTGCTCGCGGCGTGCGAGGGTGCCATGGAAGCAGACTCTGGGGCGGCGGCGGGGCGGTAGCGCGAGGAGGCGTCCGAGGGCTTAGACGCCGATTTACTGTCTGTGTTTGCGTACACGCTGGGCATGCGCACTGAAGCGCGGCTCTCGCGCAAAAGGTGTTTCTTGACAAAATTTGCCGCCGGACTCTCTGCCGGTGCCGCACGATGGCCATCACGCGCTCGCACCTGCCGACCGCCGCCACGGCGGCGAGCCGCCACCGCGGCGCCGGTCACAGGCCAGCACTAGGCAGCTGCCGGCCACACCCGACCGGGCCGGATTTGCCGGTACTCGTCGCCGCACACTCCTGCGTCCACGCCGCTGTGACGTCTGGCGACGAGGCGCCGGTCACTGCCTTTCCCGGCGGGTTGGCTGTACGCTGTAGAGCCTCTACAACAAACTCTACAGCAAAATCGCGCTCTACATCGCTCTACAACGCACCCGCCTCGTCACGCGGCGGATGTAGAGCTCTACAGCTCTACAGCGCTCCAGAGCCTCGGGATTTGGCTAGGAATCCTAACAAGCCTCGAATGGCTAACAAGCCTCGAATTAGCTAACAAGCCTCGAAGATAGCTAACAAGCCTCGGGTTGGCTAACAAGCCTCGAGCGTGGCTGACAAGCCTCGAATATGGCTAACAAGCCTCGAATTGTCCGACGAGCCTCGGCTTTGGCTTAAAAGCCTCGGACGAGATTGGCTCGACCACCTTTGGTCGAGCGACGAAGCGAAGTCGGCGGCGGGGTGGGGAGGAGTGGGGACAAGTGAGATACAGCTTGGGACGGCGGGAGAGGGCTCACCTCGCCATCGATGTAGTGCATCGGCTTGGGGTTCACGGCCGCCACGACGAGGCGGCCGAGGGAGGGGCAGACCGCCTCGACGAGCGGGAGGAGGTACTTGTTGCGCGCGACGACAGCCGCGCTGTTGTACGAGGTCGCGACGCCGTCGACGACCGGCCAGCCGCCGTGCTTGGTGAGCGGGCTGTGCAGCCCGTCGGCCACGACCTTGGTTATCTTGAGGACGGGCGCCT